CATCACTTCCCTTGAATTATTTTGCGTCTTAGGAAATGTCAGAGTAGTCACAAAAATATCAGTTCAAACTAAACCTTTAAAAACGAGAGTTTACAAGCTGATGGTCGACTAACTATGGGTATCTGCAAATTGAAAAAGTGCATATTTTGTTTTACCTTTGTTGTTTTACACCCAAATGAACAGAAAAAATATAGCTGTTGTTTCTTTCACTTCGAACCAATTCTGTATTATTTTGTATTAATAACATTCCCAATTTATTCGTGCAATTTATCATTTAGAACCTTACTTCTTACGATTGTATCTTTAAAAACCCGTTGAATATCTCTACTAACATATTATCATTATAGCCATGTTTTTAGGATAAAACTGTCTCTTGGCAGATCATAATTAATCAACTGACAAAATATTATTAATAATTCCATTTGTTTTAATGATATCGAGATTTGACTTTCTATATGAATTTTGTAATAAAAATGAATACTTTAAATGTAGTTTATGTCAAGAACATGACAGTTGTTTTCCATTCGTTTGATGTGTTTGAACTTTTGATTTTGCCATTTGTTAAGGGACTTTCCGTTTTCAATTTTCCTTGGAGTGATTTGACTTTTAATGACTCATATGCAACATTATCGTAGGTGGATTGAACTAAATACCAGAAATCGGTGAAATAAAAATAGATACAATGCAATAATTATAGAGATAAGTGCTGTGAGACGTCAGCATTTTTTTGTGCCATTTAGTTTAAACAACAAATTGAATTGGATTGGGCAACAGGCCAATCCTATGTAAGCCCTCTGCACAATTCGTTGTGCCCTTTAAAGCCGCATGTGTATTTGCTATCCACTTCATTTAAAACCTTTTAGGAAAAACTAAGATTGGTCTTTTTATCTCAGAATAATTCATATATAGTGTACGTCTAAAAAAATAGTAAGGAGATATGTCGAGATACAAACTAAACAATAAAAACCATTACAAACAACCATTATGATATAGAACAGATGATTAATTGACTTATTGTTGTTTAAACATCCAGTTGCAAATATTTGATACATAATAAGGACGAAAACAAATTTGCAATAAATCCAAAAGGTAAGTGCTGCAACGTAAGATTCATATGATACATTAATGAGATATCAACTCAATAAGCTAAACATAAGACCAACAACTGATGGACATGTACAGGTTAGATGGAGATCGAGACATTTCACAAAAAGACCCGTAAAATGCAATATGATTAGTCTCGAACACCCTTGAAATATCCTGTTCAAACAGTTGTGGTTTGTGCCATTGAACGCTGTTTTGTTCGCAATCCTAATAGTATCTATACTATAAACTCATAAATCCAATCAAACATTTGGAAAGTCAATATAGAAAACTTTTAGAATCCAAAAATCAAAGAGTGTCAAAGCTGAACTTTGCTCAAGGGTCTTATGACGTTCGGTAAAATTTATGATACAAAAATTTGCCTCACTCTGGACAATAGGTTGTGTTCAATTAAAGAAGAATTATGATGTTGACCTAAAACCAAGTCCAATCAATTGTTCGGTGTTGTTTTTTTAGGGGGGTTGTGTTAAAGGCATGTTTATGTCTGTGTCATAATTTGTCATCCGTTGACAGAAGTCTTTTTAATTTTTAGAATATGAATTCTTTATCTCATAACAATGTGCTGTGCAGATAACACCGGCTGTTGACTTTATAGTCAAATTATTATTGATTTGAAATTGATGTTTGTGTTTGGGCCATATCATTGTTATCCTTTACAGACCTTTAAAAGAAAAAGGGGAGTATATGTGATGACTTTGTATATTAGATTATATAGTTTACATTAGATACAGAACATGTTGGTGCCTGCTCGAAACTCATAGACTTGTACAAGTTGTACCGTATTGAACAAGTGTTGTAGCTTGAAGGATACATAAGTGTATCAATGACAAGGTTGTTACTGGTCGAGGACAAATTTGAATCTGTTATATATATATATATTTATAGTAGAATATTTATAGATAGTCAATTCATAAACTCAAAGAACAGTTGTATATATATTAGTTCGTTGATATCATTTTATGAATACAGTTATCTTGTTGGATAATCTGTGAATAGAAGATTTCGAATCTAGTATCAACGAACCTTGTAAATCAAAGAAATAAACACGCTGACCCAATGTACACGTTACAAATATATTTTAATCTATCAAATCAGTGCGAACTAGTTTATTGTTAAAGTTCTCGTCCTGAAAACGATAAGATATTTTGCAGTAGACGCTACAAAATGAACAAACAATACTTCAAATAAGATAAATATAGAAATAAGGAGATGTGGTATGATTTCCAATGAGACAACTATTTACCAAATGGTCAAACGACATGCAAGTAAACAATAATAGGTCAGTCAACGTTCAGCCTCCAACACTGAACATACCCTATACTGTTTAGTCAGCTATAAAAGGCCCAGACAAGATAAATGTGAAACAATTCAAACGAGAAAACTATTAAATGGCCTAATTCATAACAATTCACTTTACCCAAAACAAATATGACAGACATGAACCAAGGACAACCTCTGAACAACATGCTCCTGACTTGGGACAGGCACACTAGACCCAGTTTTTGTTGTTGCTAAAATTCTACATCAGGATCTTTTATTTGTTGCCTCTGTAATTAAGTTTGTATGTGTGTTGTACTACTGTCAACAATATTATAAGTTTTTTTTTATCACATATATATGTAAAACAGACGGACGTTAGCAGCTCATATCAGCATACACGGTCTGCTAACTCCTTATCAATAATACATTAATGAACTTAGGAGTAAATGGATATACAGATGGTTTTCAAATTATGTAACTGTTATCATTTTAAGTTTCAACGATCGATAATTACAAAAGAGAGCTGGAAGATGTAGTTTGATATCTGATTTACATTTAAGAAACGCAATACGAAATTATGTAATGTATACGTGTGTTTACTTTTCATATTGTATATGAAACTGATAAATCGGTTAATGACTGATATTACAAAACATTACATAAAAAAATATATACTATAAAGGAAAATAGTCAATTATAGAAGACCACTTATATTTTGTTTTAACCTGTAATCGACCTTTTTACAATACATAGTGGTATACAGATAAACCGATGATTGGTTGGTTGATTGGTGTTTGCTTTACGCCGCCTCAGCACAAAAAGGCTTTATCACGGCAAGAGCTAATTCAAATATTTTTACAAACGGTACCGTTTCTTTTTAAATAAGACAAATAGTTCTTCAACATTTTAAAACACAAGTTTAAAGCAAAATTATTGTTTTACAAATAAATTCAACACTTAGAATACGTGATAAAAAAAAATCATTTTAAACTGAAACAACATATTTATATTTTAGAATATATTCCAATAGTAATATTATATTTTATTCATGTTCCAGAAAGGCCATTCCCGGTTTATGGTTTATATTCCCTGAGCTGAACGCAGGGAATATAAATCTTAAACGGTAATGTTACGTTATATCCCCTGTATGAGACCTGAATAAGTGACTTATATGACGGATTACCCATGTCTTCATGTAATTTCCATTACCAGGTTTGCTTTTCCCCCTGTTGAACATGCCGTATAGATATTCAATACATGTTTCTGTTTACTTTGTATCCTTTTTACTTCATTTTCAAAAATAGATTAAATTTTCGTTGCAATATTTTTCAATAAAGTATTTTTTTTGGCGTACGTGAAACACTTTGGTGTGTAAAAGTGTGATTCTAAATTAGAAACGTACCATTGGAGGATACTCAACATTTTTTACTCGAAACATTTGTATTCTGTAATATACGTATATAGTATCCTGGAATACTGCCATCGAAAGTTTACATTAAAATTACTGTTTTCGTCATATGTCAATGTGGGGTCCTCTTCTCGGTTCCATTAAAATACAACAACTGTGAAGAACAATAAACTATACACAATGTACGACTATTGTATATATATTTTCCTTTAAAGGCAGGCACATTATATATCTTGTTTTATTGTGGTGATGAGATGCTGCTACGTTGACACATACCCCACTATTGTAACTGGTCATACAAGTAAACATATCAATGTTTCCACTCATTCCGTTGGTTTATAACGTTTGATTATGACAATATTTATGGACTTTTCCTTTTTAAATTTACCTTGGAATTCGGTATTTTATTTAATACTTTGTTACTGTCCCAAGTCAGAAACTGTAATTTGCAAACATTTTTATCAGTCATTTTCCACATTTAAAAGTTCATAAATCATGGTGTCGGAGGATCATGGTAGACTCTACTTAACAAATCACAGCTTATTCCGAACAGATTTAGAGCTTATCATATGGTATAGACATTGTCTACCATTGGAGATTGTGTGTTGACCTTTAGATGGTTTTTTTTCAGCGTACATGTATTTGATTGTTGTAGCATTAGTGTTTTACCCAAAATTCACCCTTTTATATTTTTCATCTTGGTATATTTTTCGAGGTAGATCAATTTCATTACCGACGAAACGTATAGGTCTATTTTCTGGCGTAATATTCATTTATTGGTTGTTTGTTTTTATAGTGATTAAGATTATGTCAATGTTGACTATACCCCTATTTTGACATTTTTACCTATTATGTCTGTTTGTTTTTCTCACACGTTGTTATCAATATAATGGAATTTTATGCGACTGTCATACATGTGAGAGGTTTAGCTAGCTACAAAACCAGGTTTAATCCACAATTTTTCAACATAAGGAAATGTCTGTACCACGTCAAGAATATTACAGTTGTTTTCCATTAGTTTGATGTGTTTGAGCTTTTTATTTTGCTTTTTGATAAGGAACTTTCCGCTTTTAATTTTCCTTGTAGTTTAGTATTTTTGTTATTTTACTTTTTACTACTGCATTAACACTGATATGAATGATATCGTATTTTAAATCTTTAGTACAGTTGTTATTCAATCTTTGGTAAATATATGATCATTATGACATAATAAACAGTGTTTCATACCACGTGACTGCGAATTCTTTATTAAGTATATTGACAATATGGCGGCTGTAGATAATGTATACTTGGAGTTACCTCCAACTCCAGAAAATCCAAAAAATCCCGAAAACAAAGTGTCAACTGTTGATAACATTCAACGACAACTACCTCATCTGCCTATTTCGGCTCAAAAATCTGATGGATATACTAAACCTCATCGACAATCTTTTGTGCAAACAATGTTCTTTAAATCTAAACATGGTGATCTTCAGAAAAAAAGGTTGCTGTGTATTATTGGTGTAATCTCTGGATTGTTCTTTGTGGGACTAACTGTCGGCCTTATCACAAAATGGACTTGTGATTCAAACAAAGATGGTATATATATTTTTTTGTATTTTACATTGGGACTTTTTCGGAAGGATAAACTATACAAAGCATCTATAGTAAATTACTTTTCCAAAAAGTTTTAAAGATACTTTTTCAAACATACGTAACCTAAGCGCATTCAAGTAGTAAAGTTCTTTTCCAAAAAGTTTAAAAAATACTTTTTTCAAACATACATAACTTAAGCGCATTCAAAATGTACCCCTTAAATATTCACTCTCATTGTCAACATATAACAGTGTGACAAATTTCTTATAGTGAGTATTCATTTATTGCGAGATAATGGAAATGAAAATTAAGGAAAAATATATTGAGTTAAACTATTACAGATAGAAGCAAAAACTACAATGTACAATAACATACGATTCCATTCATGTTTTGACCCTATAAAACTACACAATCCATGAACTTCCTGAATGGACCGTCAACAAAAACTTCCATTTGAAATTGTTACGTTTTGTTGGAATATGACCAATACCTATACACAATAATCGAACATAATATTTTAATAAGATCGTAAAAGATCACATGCCAAATATAGTTGTACTCCTTCAATGCTTTATAAAAAAGGACAGGCTCCATAAAAATTCATTGTCATATAATATCCCGTTTTCCATCAAGGTCATCTATTTCAATATCGTTAGTAAAGAGATATTGGTCAAATGTCAATGTTACTTATCTCTTAATCGTTACAAAAAATTGTATCAGATTTAACATAATTTTAAACTGTCACATAATATCAACAACAAGTTCTTAACCCCTATCCCGCTTGAAAAAACCTCACTAAACAGATATGACAAAATACACTGACTTCCTTACCGGACTTACTTTGTACAGGCACATGGGGTTGCGGTTAAACTAGAATGTATTAAATTTTAAACCTCAACTTTTTAAAATTATTATAAAAACTATAATTCTATCAAAATATCATACAAAATAACAGTGCATAAACAATTAACTCAACTAAAAAAATATGTGTATAACAAAAAATAAAGCAATTAAGAAACTAGACCGAATCATAGAATTGCCGGCAGTTACTGAAAGCAAATTCAACGTACGTATATAATTAACTTACTGGAGTGGAAGTTTACCGTCCCACTTTCCTATATTAGGGCATGTAATTCAGAATCGATTCCATACAGCAACTTCATTAAAAGTATAAGAAAGCTATAATTGTGTGTACCGGTACATAATTTGAATGCAGATATGAAATGTCTCCTCAAATTTATCCCATAAACATGAAAAATATCGAAAGGTAATGCATTTCTGCTCCGTTGTCGCATACATACCTCTCCGTAAAATAGTGGTACATAAAACTATCGTAATATGGTCATATAAAAGTATATTAATGTTATTGTAAGTCTCTGCGAAAATAAAACAAACCAATCAAAACACAACTTGTTTCGAAAGTATATAGAGCTTGATACATGGTATTGACATTGTGTATTATCGGAAACCATAAGTTGAGCTTTAGATGACTTTATTGTCATCAAATTATTCGGTCGTCACTCCAATGGTGTTTAACCTAAAATTTCTTTTTCCATACTTTTTACCAGATAAATTCCATTACCTGCGAAATGTATGTATAAAAATAAGAAGATGTGGTATGATTGCCAATGAAACAACTCTCCTCAAAAGACCAAATGACACAGAAATTAACAACCATAGGTTACCGTACGGCCTTCAACAATGAGTAAAACCCATACCGTATAGTTTGCTATAGAAGGTCCCGAAATAACAAATGTAAAACAATTCAAACGAGAAAACAAACGGCCTGATTTATGTTCAAAATAATGAACGAAAACAAATATGATATACAGCAACAAACGACAACCACTGAATTACAGGCTCCTGACTTGGGACAGGCACTTACAGAATGTGGCGGGGATTAAACTAGTTTGGAGGCGCCAACCCTCCTCCTAACCTTGGACAGTGGTGTAACAGTACCACATAAGAACAAACTATGAAAATCAGTTGAAAAGGGCTGAACTCATCAGATGGAAACAAAGCAGAAATACATGTAACAAAACACAGAGTGGACGTGGCAGGATACTTATACATACCCACAACAAAAAGACACTTAGTATAGATCTGAGAGTACTCGCAGTTAATGACAGCATGTTCAAAGCCAATAACAACTGATAAAAAAATATGTATCTAAGACTAAAATATCAAGTAAAGTCTATATTCTCGCGTTGTATTTATTTAATTGTAAAGTTATATTTTAAATTGAATATTATACATTTTTTATACCAACAATGACATGTATGATATCATATTTTTAATCTTTAGTACAATTGTATTTCAATATAATTATTATGACATAATGTAAGAAACATTTTTATACCATGTGACTTTGAATACCTTGTATATTGACAAAATGGCTACAGGAGTTAATAATTTTGAATCACAACCAAATGCAACAGAGAACATATATATTGAATAAACTCAAGAAAATCGTTAAGCGCATTCAGAATGTACCCCTTGAAATGTTATTCACACTCATTGTCACAGTATAACAATGTTAAATATTTCTTATGTAAGTATTCATATACTGCGTGATAATTTAAAACACAATTACGGGAATATCCCTAGTAAAAGTATTTCAGAAAGAAGAAAAGCTAAATTGTACACCATTTCCATTCATGTTTTGACCCCTTAAAACTATACAATTCATTTACTTCCTGAATGGACCGTCAACAAAAAGTATTATTTAATGTTGTTAAATATTGTTGGAATATGACCAACACCTACACAATAATCGAACATACTATTTTAATAGGATCGTAAAAAGATCCCATGCCAAATTTTATAGTTGTATTCCTTCAATGCTTTATAATAAAGGACAGACTCGATAAAAATTAATTGTCATATTATATTATAGTTACTGGTAGTAGATACACAACACATAAATCTTAAGGTCATCTGATTCAATGTTGTAAGGAAAGAGATCGCGGGCGAATGTCAATTTTACCAATCTCTAAATCGGTGAAAAAATAAATGTACCAGATTTAACATAATTTTTATCCTATCAAATAATATCAATAACAAATTCTTAACCAATCGACATCCCCCCCAGCTACCCCAAAAAAATAATGTTATAGGCAGATATGACAAAATACTCTGAGTTTCTTACTTGGCTTACTTTTGACAAACACATGTGGCTGCGGTTAAAATACACGTTTTATAAAAAAAAAAACTTGACCCGCCACTTTTTAAGAACTGTTCAGTGCATTCAATAAGCATTTAAAAGATCATATCATTACAAACCAGTAAAAGTCTGAAATAGCCTATATCTGTACTCGACTGTACTGATTTTTACTCGACCAGTCTGAATTGGTTTGAATTTTACTGAATATTACTCGACCCAGTCTTAACCATACTCGACTGTACTGATTTGTACTTGACCCTTATCTTTGATATTGAAAATAGTCTTAACTATTACTCGACCAGTCTGGAACAGTCTTAACCCAGTCTCGACCTGTACTGGACCAATACTTGACCAGCTCTCAATCTATGTTTTCAGTCTGAACCATACTCGACCATAGGTCTGAACAATACTCGACCAGTCTGAACCATACTTCACAAAATAATCTCTTCTTTATAATTTTGATTGTTAAAATAACTTTCTTTTTAACTGACATGACAAAAGCCGCAATTAAATAAAGATATATATAAACGCAGATTTTTACATCCTTTAATAATACATGATTCTTTTAGATTTGTCAAATCGAGATAATTAAATTATCTAATTTTAAAGTCTGAATCTTGTTAAATAAAATACTTTCTTTTACCTGAAAACCACACCTATACTGAGGGTAATAAAACCTTATTAAAAATAAGGTGCTTTTTGTTTGGCATGTGTTTTTTTTTAAACAAAACTTGATTTTCCTAAATTCCTAAATAAAAACGAATGTAGTACAGAAAGTCACAGGAGAAAAAGTCACAATTCAGTTTTGAGTTTATTTTTCTTTGAACAATAATACACTTTTTAGAAAAAAAACATTTTTGTATTTTTCTTGAAACAATATCAACAATGATCAAATAATTGTTAAGAAAACAAAATGTAAGAGTGTTTTGGTATTTAAATGGCTTCATGGTGCCAAAAAATTATATCCTTTGCATGATTAGAATTTTATAAATCTTTATTTATCAAGTCTTATGAACAATTTCCTAAACTGTAAAATGAATATGTGTAATAAAAAGTAAACATTTCAAGATCTTTCTCATACATATTCAAACAATTGTATATAAATTATTTGTGACTTTTTGTCCTATCAAATTTGTGACTTTCTGTCCTGTGACTTTTTGTCCTGTGACTTTCTGTACTTAGGTTACATGGTTACATACAATAGTTATATAACTATCTTTTTAATGAGGTAACAACAGCCAACAAAATCACTGACATTGTTTAACCTTATATCAGAAATATATATATATTCCTATTTATAATTTGGGATATATATATATTTTAAAAAGGAATAAAAAATCAAAGAAATGAATAAAATTTTTCTTCTGATTAGGGGTAAACGTTTAAGTAATACATCCTTCTTGGGGCACACTGATTAAAAAGATCACACCTGGTCAGAGAGTAATAAATTTTGGTTTTCTTTTTACCTGTAAAACACACCTGTACTAAGGTAATTAAACCATTAAACCTTATTAAAGTGCTTCTGTTATGCCATGTCTTTAATTTTGAAAAAACGTATTTAAATTTAATTAAAATAAATTTATACTGCAACTTTGGAATACATTTCCTTTTTAAAAAGGTTATCAAGGATTGCTATGAAAGTTTTATTTTTTACTATTATATATATTAAATTTTTGGTTTTACAAAACAAAGGTGTCAATTTTAACATCTATTAAGTTTCTTTATATACTATTTTATATATATTTTGATAAAAAAAAATTTGAATAACATTTAAGATATTTGAATAATGGTTGACAATTTTTTTGATGTGCATAAATCAATGTGAACATGATATCATGTATATAAAAATTCATTTAACGAACTTAATCTATTACATGATATTTTTTTAATCCAACCAGAAATTTGATCACATTGTTTTATTCTAATTTTAAATGTGATATGCATTATATATATATATATATATATATATATATGTATGTATATCAGTTCCTAAATGATGAAATACAATAGATACATACAAAAAATAGGTCTTGGTCGAGTATGGTTCAGACTAGGTCGAGCATGGTTCAGACTTGGTCGACAATGGTTAAGACTATGTCGAGTATGGTTCAGACTCGTATAAAATGGTTAAGTACTGGTCGATTAAAGGTCGAGTACAAGTTCAGACTGTTTAGTATGGTTCAGACTACAGGCGAGTAATCTCAAGTAATTTACAGACCAATTCAGACTGGTCGAGTAAAAATCAGTTCAGTCGAGTACAGATATAGGCTATTTCAGACTTTTACTGGTTTGTAGTGTATATATTATCAGTGCAGGAAAAAGTAACTTTTTTTGTTACTATAAAATATCGGTATGATAGCTAATAAAACAATTAAGAAACTCGGCCGAATCAAAAAATTGCCGGCAGTTACTACTTATATAATTTACCTGCTGAGGTGGAAGTATGCCGTTCCACATTTCTATACTATGGCATGTACTTCAGAATAATTTCCATACAGCAACGTCATTAAAATTATACGGATGCTTTAATCATGTGTAAATTGAATACAAATACTAATTATTTTCCTAAATCCATCTCATTAAAATGAAAATCAATCGAAAGGAAAAAAAAAAGAATTAAAAACACATCATCTTTTTGTAAAATGGTATTTTTGCTGTTTTTTTGGTGTTAAACGCCACTTTAACACTTGGTTATATCATTGCGCCAGCTTTTGTTGATGGAAGATGCTGGAGTACATCGAGATAAGCGCCAACTTTCGGCAGGAAAACTGGCAATCCTTGTGAATTAAGATCTGAGGCGAACATACATCGTCAAAAACCGGGTTCCAACTCTCTACCTCGGTATAGACAGGCTCGTGATCACTGTAAATGCTTGATTTATTGATTATTGGTTGCTTAACGTCCAGTGGCAAGTTGTTCATGCATTTTCAGGACAAGAACAAATTAACAATAAATACAATAGGTAGGTTCTGTAATAAGGCCGTTCGGGATGTAGATCGGGGAAATTTTGAAACTGGGGGTACTTGGATAGGAACAAAAATTTTGCCTTGCAGCAGACCACCTACGTCCCTTTTAAGTCGTTGCAAGGGTTCTTAATGTGCAAAGAACGTGGTAATCTCTTTACACGATGCTTCAACTTTAACGTCTCCATTCTGACCAGACGTGGCTGCGAACGTGTACATCCTGCACAGCCAAAACAAACGCCCACTTTGGCAAAGGTTTTATTGCCGGTCGGCAGAAGACCAAGAGTGGCCATATTTCTATTCCCCGTCACCCATGGGGTTCACTGTAAATGAACTACCACTTCTATCTTATACATGTACCATATACCACACTTTGAATCTTCTGCGAGACTTGCTTTTTCGTTACTGCAAAATGGAATGCATTGAGTGTTTTGCAGTTATGGTTGGACTAAAAGAAATATAACACTTTATACGCTTAGTGCATCAGACGCGATTTTCGGGATTTACTTTCAGCAAGAACGCCCAAAAGAAAACATTTAAAAGCCAATAATGTGAACTTAAATGTCCTGATTAAATGAGGTGCTATATCACGAAAATGGGTCCAAAAAAGAATTGCGAAGATCATCTTAGTTGAACTATACATAAGACGATTGGAACATCAATTTCTTAATAATAATTCTAAATGTATCGACAGGAATGTATGTCATCAATCCTGTCAGTGACAAAGCACTGACAACTGTGCTGAGTATACATTCGGGGAGTAAATTAAATCCTGTGTATCAGCAAGAGCAAACCTGTACATAATGTGAATGCAGATAACACAATTTAACTAGATCAACTTTTTAAATGTTGATCAGTAAACCCAAAAGAGTTGCACGACAGAGTACCGACCGCCACTATTAGTGGTAGTTCATTCATTGCGATTGTTAGTCTGTCGATCCTAAGATTTTGAGTTGGAACTCGGTTTGTGAAGAGGTATGTTGGAATCCAAATTCATTTAACAAGGATTGTATGTTTTCCTGCCAAAAGTTGTTCGTTCATTTGAGGTACTCCGGCTTCCTCCACATAAAAAAAACCTAAAAAAAACCAAACTTGGTCACAATGATATAGCCAAGTGTTAAAGTGTAACACCACCCAACAGCAACAAAAATATTCCACAATACCATGAGGTGGCTGTAGCATAATCACAGTATTTGACCATGCTGCAAATAAAGTACATTTATTCATTCATGTTATCAAAAATGGAACGAATGTTTTGAAATCCATAACCATTTGTGCTGTCTTATCAAACCACTCTGAATTCCTTTGTCTTGTAATCCTCTACCTGATACTAACTGGCTTCATAATCTAAATCCCTAGGAAGAGTTTCAACTGTAAAAGTTATATCTTTATTTCAGTCAATCGTCAGTGCTTATGGTCTTCGTGGAGTTTCTGGACAGTGTGCTCATCGTCTACGATATTTGGCAAGCAGTATCGGTTTAGGCAGTACTCCGGACCTGCACATAGTTGCCAAATGAACGAAACCATAGAAGATCAAGAGTGTCCGGGTAGATAGATATAAATTTCTGTATTACGAGAGAACTACAATATATAACTTACAAATATAACAATTAACAAGTGTCATATCATGAATGTTGTACTAAAAAAGACATAGAAATGTAACAGTATAGGTCATGTAGGTATAATGTATGATGTTCTGTTAGTGTCAATAGGTCTCAAAAATAAAATTTAATCGTTATGTCCTTGTTCTTAGTTTTCAGTTAATATCTAAAGGATTTGTGCTTTAGTAATTTTTGGTATTAATAAAATTTCTTTGACAACCCTAATAATTTTATTCAACCTTATACACTGCAGCCCTGGGAGCGATTATATGTTTGCCTTATTGTTTTGCAATATTTAGAAAAAACTGTTAACATCCAAATGGATTTGAATTGATTGTGTTGTTGAATTGCTAGTTCATGACGTATAGCACAAATATTGTTTCATTCGATATAACCCAAAAGGGTTGACTGGGGTATAAGGAACATCTTATTTTTATATGTTCATCACTTGGAATTCTCCCGTCTAGCAGTAAATCTCTAACTGGAGAATGTAACGGTGCATGCACGTTTAAGAACCATTGATTGATCTGTTGGTGGCCTGTGCAAAGCCAAGATACATGTGCGTCCACATTATCGCCTTTCATTCCTGTCGACCTACATTGTAGAACCTACTTTTTGCTTTATTTTTATCTTGTCCAAAATATGCATGCAATATCTAAAACTTGATGTAAAGCATGCAGCAATCAATCAATTGATTTTTCAGGGCGTTAATAAACAAATTATTACAATATGCAAAAAAATCTGAAAAAATTTAGGTAGTATACTTTTAAATTATTTTTGTACCTTGTATGCAATATGCGTCTATCAAAGATTTATAATGGATGACAAAATAGAAAATAAATTTCATTCAAATTCATATTATTATATCACTTGGTCCGTTAGTCTGCTAATGACCATAGGCAATCAGTTCATGATGGTACACTCTGCCCATTTGCCATTGCTTCGGTATCGTCATGATTTTATTTTTTACTTTTCATAACTTATGTAAATGAGCTTAATAAAACTATGCTTGCAACTCTCTCAGGAAATGTTTTGTCTTTTCTATTAAGGCCCTTTTACAATGGAAATTATTTTTTTTTTTTTAACTTTGAATATTATTGAGTCTTTTTTTTTAATGAATGAAGTTAGGATACTCAAGCAATACCATCCAATCATAAGAAATTCTTATCGCAAGTATTTACATATGGTATACATGTATAAGCACTAAAAGCAACATATTTATTTTTTGTACCTAAAATTTGCGAATTGTAAATTTCAGATGATCAATACACGTTTGATTTGAAATTTGATCCTTCGACACTTCACCAGTCTTGTTACCTTTCTGCTGACAACAAAGTACTCAGTAACCACTTTGGCGGGGAAACCAAAGACAACCCAAATGATGTCAACCAACTACAAAACTACACGGGATCTATCGGAAACATTTGTTCTGAGGAAAATACTAAAATATATTTTGAAATATACTTTCAGTACGAAATTTTGGATTTTTTATACGGACCATATTTACTGTTAGAAGTTGGACTTGCCGAACGAAACAAAATTGACAATATTTTGCAAATTGGGGATAAGAAAGTCGGTGGATGGTCTTTGCAAATTTACTCGTGTCCAAATTTAAGAAAGATCTGTTTATCAGTTCAACATGGAAAAGTAGATAGCTTAAAGTTTACTCTAAGCAGCAATGAAGATGGTACTGTAGCTGACGGATTCCTTGGTTTTTTGGTAGATAGAGAGAGAAGCGAATTTTCGTTCATGCGCGATGGAAAGAAATTTTTCACTTTTCCAGAAGTAGAATCTGATGAGCTCCTTTGTCTGGTATTTGGAGTATTTAATCCGTCAAGTGTAAAAGTGTCACAAGAAATTATAACAGCAAAAAACTACACGGACATTTTAAAGTCGCACTGGACATAAATGGTTTTCAATCATGTATGCATTTTACATATGCGGTGGGCATAATTAATTTTGTTATCACCATTGCAGCTTCATAATGACAGTTTATTTGCAGAGAGATTATCAAACACAAGACCTAAGGTCATTGACAAGACTAAGCCTTTATAATTCGTATAATTGGTACATTGAATGTTTTATATCTGAATCTTACCATGCTGATCTTTCCACGGAATGTAGAAAACCGTTTAATTTTTTCTGATTATTTTGTTTCCTCCGCCACTTTTGTTTCTGAAATGTCGCTTTTGTTTGGCAACATGTCGATAATATATTTGTTGTATAATATATCGAACAGTTACTGCGTTTTTGAAACTCAACCTTTAAAACCGATCACTTTTCCATATTGGAGTTATCTTCCCGTATACTGTTTTTTTATTCCGTTATCACTTCTCCCCAGAAGCGTAAAAGTTATCGCTAAATTTGTTTTCACCCAAATGTTCGTTACTTCATCACGATAATCTGTTAAATTTGGACTGAAGCGGTCCGGTTACATGTTATAAGAGTTATTTCCTTTCTTGTGTGTAACATGAGTGGTATATCGGGGTACTCATATAGACCCAGAGGCTTTAGATATATGACGTTCTTAGTCAATAAGCAGGAAATAGGGGTCAAGGTAAAAGTCTATGTCAAGTACTAAATTTTGAACCCTTCTTGTTATCGCAACTCATCAAAAACTGTAAAAGTAATCGACATAAGGTTTTGGCAAATTATAAGTTGCCACATGACGCTTCACCAATACATGTATGTCGTAGTCCTTTGGGGACTTTTTAGCGGAGTTTTCTTTCTTAAATAATTAAAATAAACTGTTTGGTAGGATAAGTTCTTAACCATACATAGCATGGACCTAGGGTCTTTTGATATGAGATCTTTTACCTTGAAATTGAGTTCAAGGTCACAGATAAATAAGTAGCCAATAACATTATTTCAAAGGGAAATGCACAAAAACCATATATTTTTGGAATCAGTGAAAGCTCTCAGATGACAAAGGAAGTGACTATTTAAAACCGGAAGTGGTCGTCCTTTCTCGTTTTTTCAAAGAAAAGAACTAAAAATTACATATGTTTCGATTCTGTGTAAGATTAGTTATCTTCTGACAACTGATTTGTTTACAGATGTTACTTTTTGTGATTAATTATTTTTACATATATGTACAAAAAATCATTTAAACCTAAATGGTTGAGGTAGAAAGACATTTAATTTGTTTTTCATTTGTATATTATTTTTTTCAACGTTTTTGTTAATCAATTTAATCGTTGAATCTTTTTTCGTTGAATATTTCAACATCAAAATAAGCACATAAAGTTATGTTTATAGACAGAGTTTTATACAGAAAGCATTGGAAATAGTCATTGAAACAAATGTTAAGAAATACTGCATGACCTCAGACAGTATATGTTATATAATATTATACGACATACTTTATATTCCCCATCATTGATATCATTGTAACTGAATTAAGAAATCTAGAAACCTACGATGTCGGATAGGACACCATTTGGACATTTTTTGAGTAAGGCACAACGAAGCAATACATTTATCAGGGTTTTAAGTTTCATAAATTTTGACACCAGGAAAAAATCAGGATATGTTCTAAATATCAAGGTTCATAAAATCTGAAATAACTATGATTTTGTTAAAATTATAGTAGCAATTTAAACATGGTGGTCGAAGGGAAAGTTTTGACAAAAGAAATCAATTTGGAATAGAATCTCATACGGTGACCTATAGTTGTTAATTTCTATCTCATTTGGTGTCTTGTGGATAGTTGTCTCATTGGCAATCCTTCCACTGCTTCTTATTTTCTTATTTATTAAGATGCATAATTTTTCATTGAAATCCTAGCACGATAAGATGTTTCACAAAATTTGGGAAAAATATAACTAATCGTGCGAGACCCTCATGGGTAGTCAAGAGTCAAGATCGTTAACCCCCCTTCATTTTTCTCGTAGTAGTAGTGTTTCAATGGATGAATTTTTAACCAATTGTAATATGCCCGTCAACATATGCATAACAACAGCTTTCTACCAATTCCTTTGTAGATTTTGCGCTTACAAAAACTGTTTATAAAATTTTTAATTTTTTAACTAAAGCTCAGTTTTTTCCAAAATTAATTGCCTAATTTACCTACAAAATAATTATAACTGGTATCAACTGGAAAATATACACTCTTACTATACAAAATACACACAAACAAACAACGCTCTGCTGGTTCCAGTAAAGAGTTATCCATATAATTTTGGGTACTTATACATGTTATACCTTATTTTATAAGATGAAGATATTGAACAGCATCTGAATATTCAAATTATTTCATTTAGTAACTTTGAAAATATCCAATTGAACTTTGTTAAAAATAAGTTTAAAATTTTTTTGCTTACAAAATATTACATTTACCGAACAAAAATAAAAGATGTATTGCCAAAAAATGCTTTAAAAATAAATCTGAGCCTAGAAATTATCCTATTTCAGTTTAAAATCGTTATGAAGATGAAAATAACAAATACTGCTGCCCCGGGTTGTCTTATATAGACAAATTATAATTTGCGATGTTTTTCTATCTATTTTCATGATAATGTGTTTAATCTTGATACTACATTTAGATAAAAAGAAATAGAATGTTCTCTCTTAGGTCGTTAGATATCCATATATAGTCTATCTATTTTATACAATAATACAATCCACAGTAGTTTTGATTTTATTTTCATACATATGTCATTCTGTATATCTTTGTGTGTACATGTTTTGCAAGCCTATTTGTTTAAAAAAATCCTTTTCATTTCAAAAACTAGAAATAATATGCAGATCTAAATTTGATGCACAACAACTGTGTAAAATTTCATGGCACTCTCGATACGGGACCCTAATAAGAACATAATCTAGCTAGTATAACCAAACTGAACAGCAAGAAAAGCAAACTCGTCAGCTGTGAATTCTTAGTTGTAAGACTGATGATAACTTCAATTCTATCACTGGTTTCACATGTTTATGTCATCAACAAGTTTATAATCAAATGAGCGACACGACTGGTGGACTTGCCTAACCATCTTGTGCACCATCTCGTTAGGTAGGGCCCTTATTGTTCAATCTGAGTTTACTTTACCGTGTTTTGTAGACTGCTCATATCTTTTTAACACAAAACTTAGATTAACCAAACTTGGTATCATGAGTTGGGTATGCGTCATATATCTAAGTCAAATCAATCTGACCTTAACTTTGACCTTTGGCCCCTATTATAGTAAACTGTGTACGATGCATAACTTTTGTACCGTGGCACTTCGATTGCCAAAGCTTTGTATGCAGAAGCATCACGGGATGAGGATATGTCAAATACCAAAATCAGGTCACTCTGACCTTGATCTTGACCTTATGCTGAAAGCCAAACATCTCAAAATGTCAATGCCTCACTAATGAATTTCACCACACCTACTTGAATGCATGTACAGAGGTATTACTCCTGGTGCAGTGTTTCGAGTCACAACTCTTCAGGTAGAGATAATGGTTTTTCTCAAAATCTCAATGCTTCAATAATGTATTTCACCGCAGCTACTAAAATGCATGTACAGGGGTATTACTCCTGGTGCAGTGTTTCGGATCACAACTCTTCAGATAGAAATAATGGTGTTTGTCAGTTTTCTTAATGTCATGACTCCGTTTTGTACAAATGTGGTTGTGTCGAGAAAAAACAATTCTTGTTTGACAATTCTGGTATAAATTTTATAGAATGATGGAATTTATTAGAATGATCTAAAACCTATTGTAGATGTTCTACAGTATCGCTCTATTTTATGTCGACAGCATAACAAAACAGAGCCAAACCTACACAACTATGGTTTATAGCTTCCGTGGGATATTTTGTATACACGATTTCCACGGGATCACTAGCTGCGGCAACAGATCTACCTTTATTTACACATTTTAACTCATATTTAATCAATCCAATACATGCATCTGCCACATTAAAACAATTATAATCAATTATATATCTAAAGTTGATCAAAATAATCCACTAAGTACGTATTTTCTAAACTAAAAATATTTTAACATAAGGTGCAATATTCCTCTGGGAAGCAGCTATGTAATCACCTATAGCCCTAGGTTCATTAGACTGTGAACCACGAATAAATTTGTAGATAAATGTAACAGATAAGATTATCTGTTATGATTGGTAAATAGTTCACTGTTGTTTAATAGTTTGCAGGTTTGAACAATAAACTTTTGATTATATATTTCCAGATGTAAAAGTTAAGTATTTATCATGAATTAAATTATGGTCAATTGAAAGGTGTATTTCAAAAATATGTAAAATTAAATTTCATATTTACAAATAAAGCATGATATAATTGATTAAAAAATAAGAGGGCAAGTTTGAAATTTTAGCATAGAAAATAAATTTATATAAAAAAACTTTACTTATTCAAAATAAATGCATAAAAGTATTTCAAAATTTACATGTATAAGATTTTATGTCAGTTTTAAATTTTATACAATTCTTCGTGTAGATAACTTTTCAAAATACTATTTTTTACTTAACTGTTTGTCCAGTTAACGAATTAAGAAGATAGCAATGGCATAATTGTTCATTATTGACGCGTACACTATTGTCGGGATTATTGATATTGCGGAATATTTAGTTTATCAATTTCAAGTATAACTGTGTTGGAACAATTATGTCATTTGTATTGTATCTGTTGTATGATCTGATGGTGAATATTCAGATTACTTTCCATGTAATGTATGTGTACAACAGGGAGAAAATGTATCTCCTTTACTTTTCTCTATTTATTTAAATGATTTGGGAACCTTTTTCAGAACAAAAATATGAGTGTTTTGCAATCTTTATCAGATCAAATAGAGAGCGCGCTAAATATGTATTAAAAACTTTTTATGGTACTGTACGCCGACTACACCGTACTGCTGTCAGAATTATAGTCATATCTACAAAAACAACTAGACACTTTAAAAGAAAATTATGATATATGGAAATTTAAAGAATATGTAAAAAAACAAAAAGCAAAAATAATATTTTTTTTTTATCGGTAGACCACTACAGAATGAAATTTTCAATTATGATGATATAAAGTTAGATATTGTCGAAGAAATTGCGTTGTTTTATAATAACGAACCGGAAGTTTCACAATAGCGAAAAAAGCACAGGCTGAGAAAGCAACAAGGGATATTTACGATACATTTGAACATAATTTGAACATGAAATGTCAACTACATATAGATAACTATTTGATGAAGTAGTTAAGTCGGTATTACTGTATGAATGTGAAGTCTTAGAAATGGGCAACACCTCTATTATAGAACGTGTTCATCTTAAATTTTGTCAACTACTACTTAATCGAAAAAATCCAAAACTGACTTCAAGACATATGGGAAACTTGGTCGAGACCCACTGGATTTTTTCATCAAATTACAACCGATTAATTATTGAGGAATTTGAAAACTTTCAACCGGAGAAGAAAAGAAACTTCCAGTTATCCGATACAATCATATTACTAATAGATACAATGGAAAATTGCTTGGTGTAAGAATGTTAAATCAGTGCTTGCTAATTGTGGACTATCAAAAAAAAAATGGAACAGTAAATTCTTTACTAGAAGCAACTGGTTTTATACAGAAATACTGTTAAATTAAAATTAACTGACCAGGTCAGACAGACATGGTTTGCTACTCTACAAAACTCTTCAGAAGTTCTGAATTATTATAATAGATTATTCAAAAAGAATCTAAATTTTGAAACCTATTTAAATATTCTAGATGAATAAAAAATATTGCTTCCTGTTGTGGATTTAGAATTTTGAAATCTAAAATTACCATTGAAATTCAAAACATAGAGGGGAAACCGTATTTATCCGGTGATATTGGTGACGACTTTCGTTATATTTAGGAATGTTCGGCAATAGCCGAAAGTACACAAACGCTTTCAAAGCATCAATATTTAAACAGAGCACATATTTTATAATTTCAAAATCTTATGAATAGCAACAACACGTTTGAACTAAACAAGTTGTGCAAATTTATACGAATAATTATTGCGGAATGCCTAGAATCTCCTGGGTAACCACTTTATGTATTTACTTTACATTTGTATATATTTTTTATACTATGTATGTTGATTTATCTGTATATGTCTCTGGATCGAAGACAATAGTTTAAGTTTTTTTTTATTTTGTTTGTATTTTAGTTATAATTTTTGAATAGAGAAATTGTTTTTATTAATTGCACTTATATTTTTGCAAGTTTATTTTAATCGTTAATTTTCAATACAATTATGTTGAAATAAAGTTACATTTTTGTCCGTTAAAATTAGTTAAAGATAACAGTATTTTCCAAAGAGTTTATTACAGTGTAGAAAGTTAATTGTTAATCTTAACGGGATTCCTAAACTTTATGACACCTTCAGTAAGTCAGTCTAGTCATTTAGAGTTCAAATAATAGTCGTCTAATGCAGCTGTGTTGATTTAATTACTTTGTTTTGATCATCTCTGGGAATCAGGTTAAATTAGTGTGAAATTTTATGTCTAATGTTGCAGACGTAAACAGTTCGTTTTTATCATGCGATAAGTTAACATCGAAAACAATGTTGAGTAATTGTAATACGGAATGATTGTAAATATTGTAAATATTGGATTAAAACGTAGTTATTAGCAAACATTCGAGTTAGTTTTATGTTTTGGATATAATAATGCTATTGGTATAACATTGTCGTCGAACTCCAAGTCCCAAATCATCGAACTTTATATGAACGTTTATTACACTGCACATTTCAAATCGTCTCCGTAACATTTTGGTAGCAGAGCGTGGTTCAATGAACTGTAATCGTAATCGCATAGTGAGAAAATGAGTAATTGGGATTTGGAAATAGAAACAGTGGCAAGCGAGGGAGAAAAAATGGACGAAACCGTAATTGCTAAACCAGACGAAACTGTACAATTAGAATATTTGAAGAAAGATAAAGCAAAAGCGAAATCGGCATTCACAAAAACAAGACATATATTACTTCAGATCCTCAAAGAAGATTTCCCTGACCGTAAAGAAATTAAAGAATTTCAAGAGAAACTAGTGAATGCGGAAGAAAAAGCGATGGATATTATGGGGAATATCTATGATGAATATAAGCACAGGAATGATATTTTAAATATGAAGAAAACAACAAAAGAGATAGAAAAAACGGAAGAGGAATTTACTGAAGCAGAAAATGAGTGTCGTGATTATTTGATCGAAAGCAAGGATGGATCAAGCGTTGCGTCCAGTGCATCGGGAAAATCAAGACGAGCTAATGTGAATTCCGAAAATAAAGTGGAAAATAAACCCATAAATAAAGGAAAGGAAGTTAAACCAGAATTTGGACAAACTACGAAAGAAGAAAATAACGACAAGGAATTGGATGAAATGAAATTTAGTTCAGAATCAGGACAGGATATGTGGAAACAGTTAAAAAAAGTCTCAATACCGGTATTCACAGGAAAAAAAAGGAATTACCAGAGCTGGAAAGCTGCATTCTTAGCATGTATTGATCAAGCACCGACAACAAAGGAATATAAGTTATTACAACAGAGACAATATGTGGAAGGTGATGCTTTGCAAGTTATAGAAAATATAGGACATTCAGCAGTTGCTTATGATGCCGCAAAGGAGCGTTTAGAAAGAAAGTACGGAGGACAAAGGAGACAAATAACC